AAGAAGAAGAAGAAGAAGAAGAAGAAGAAGAAGAAGAAGAAGAAGAAGAAGAAGAAAAGGTGGTGGGGAAGTACCTACCTCCCCAGATAATTGTGGGAGTTAAATGAGATAATTTAAAAGAAGCACTTGAAAAGCACTGGCTGGCCTATTAGAAAATACCTTTCTACACTTGATTCCAACTGCTTCTGGGAGAAACCTGTAGCCTGGCTTGCGTTGGAAAAGATGTTGTTGGCCTCTGCTGCTGTTGGTTTCTGGGGACTTCTGAGGACTTAGGAGAGAGTGATGAAAGAACAAAGGCTTTCTTGAGTGGACAGTGGGTTGTAAGCTGCCACTACCCTGAAACCAGAGTTTGCCTGCCATCTAGTGGCCGATGGTTGAAAGTGCCTGAAGCCCACTTGCCCTTGGGATCTACTCACCCGGGGCTTGAACTCTGGGCCTGGGCGCTGTCCCTCAGCTCTTCAGCTCAAGGCGAGCGCTCTACCACTTGAGCTACAGCGCCACTTCCGGTTTTCTGGTGGTTTATTGGAGATAGGAGTCTCACGGTCTCTCCTGCCCGGGCTGGCTTTGAACCTCGATCCTCAGATCTCAGCCTCCTGAGTAGCTAGGATTACAGGCGTGAGCCACCAGCGCCCCGCCTCACCCACTCCTTTTCTTCTCCAAGAGCTTCCCCTAATGCTCCAAGCTCTCTTCTGTCCTCAGTAGCTTCCCATACCTGGCCTGACATTCTTCTTCTTTCTTTTTTTGGGGGGTCCAGTCGTGGGGCCTGAACTCTGGGCTTGGGCGCTGTCCCTCAGCTCTTCAGCTCAAGGCTGGCGCTCTACCACTTGAGCCACAGCGCCACTTCCGGCTTTTTTCTTTTTGCTTATGTGGTGCTGAGGAATCGAACCCAGGGCCTCATGCATGCAAGGCAAGCACTCTACCACTGAGCCACCTTCCCAGCCCCTGGCCTGACATTCTTAAGTGCTTAGCAAAGGCCCACTCATTCAATCTGAAGATTGGATGCAGGCCTTACCTCTGAGACAACTGAGTACCTGGATGTTCACTTCCTTCTTCCAATGAGACCACTGGACACTACTCCGTCAGCAACTGCCCACCACTTCCTAATATTGTTCCTCTCTGCCCTGGCCCCTACCTATCCCAGCAGCTGATATGTATTTGATAAATGAATGCACAGGCTAGTAAAGATGGGGGAGGGGCAGACAGAACTAGTCCAGGAGTTCATAGATTGCTTTATGCTGTTGGTTGGCTAAAGTGGTAGAGCACTTGTCTACCAAGCATGAAAACCCTCAGTTCAAGCCCCAGGCTGACAAAACTAAAAAGTGCTTATTTTGCTAATAGTTATCTGTAGCCCCACCAACAGGTTGCTCTAGAAGCTAATTTTTTTCATTGAAAATAAATGTAAATGTACATCTACCCTATGATTCAACTTCTAGATCCCAAGAGTAAAGAAAATCTGTTTGTACAAAAATCTTGCATGGATGTAGTCACTGTTTTCATGAAAAAGAGATAATAACTAAATAAGACAAAAACGTCCACCAAGGAATGAGTAAACAAAGTACATTATTTCATGCAATGAAATAGCCACAAAAAGGACCCCAAACCATGGCTAAGTCTCAAACGCACTCTGCTTAAAGAAACTAGACACACGAAAAGAACGTAGTAAATAATCACATATGTATAAAACATTAGAATGAGAAAATATAATCTATATGACAGGAAAGAGATCAGTGGAGATAGAGATAGGGAAAACTCAGAGAAAGAACAGAGACTGGAAATAGTCATTGAGCTTGTTCAAATTCATCAAGCTGTACATCTAAGAATTTGGGCATGCGATCTGAATGTTAAACACACCAAGTAACTTTTTTTGTGCCGATCCTGAGACTTAAACTCGGGCCTGGGCACTGTCCCTGAGCTTCTTTTTTGCTTAAGGATAGTGCTCTATCACTTGAGCCTCAGTGCCAGTTTCCGGCTTTTTCTGAGTAGTTTATTGGAGATAAGAGTCTCACGGACCTTCTTGCCCAAGCTGGCTTCACACTATGATCCTCAGATCTCAGCATCCTGAGTAGTTAGGATTTTAGGCATGAGCCACCGGCTTCCAGCTAAATAACTTCTTTTTAAGCGGGGCACCGGTGGCTGGTTCCTGTATCCTAGCTACTCAAGAGGCTGAGATCTGAAGATCCTGGTTCAAAGACAGCCCAGACAGGAAAGTCTTCGAGATTATCTCCAGTTAACCAGTAAAAAGTGGGAAGTGAAGCTGCGGCTCAAGTGGTAGAGTGCCAGCTTTAAGGGGGGGGGGGGACCACTACAGGGACAGCGCCCATGCCCCATAACAGAAAATACACAGACAGACAGACAGACAGACAGACAGACAGACAGACAGACAGACAGACAGACAGATAGATAGATAGATAGATAGATAGATAGATAGATAGATAGATAGATAGATAGATAGACAGACAGATAGACAGATAGACAGCAGAAAGCCAGGACAGCAACCCTCTGGAAACCTCTGCGCGCGAGCCCGGCACCGCGTGCAGTTACTCCTCTGGGACGCCAGGGGGCGGCGTGGGCCCGGGCAGAGCAGGCGCGCCATCGCGCGGAGCGGGACTCGGCGGCAGGGGGCGGGACAAGCGGCGAGTCCATGTGGGCGCCG